CGCGGCGCTGGCGGGTGGGTGGGTCACTGCAGCTCGGACCCGCCGTGGGCGAGCGGGGTGACTCGGAGCACCTGGGCCCTGCACCTGGTTGGCGTGGGGAAGGGGCTGGGCGCGGTGCATCCTGGGATACTGGGGGGCTGTAAATTGCTCTTTTTGTCCCTGTGGCACAGGCGTGTGTTGCCCTCGCGCGAGCTAGCACGGCCCACAGTGACCCCTTGCCTGAAGGGACGCACCTTCGAGATCCCGGGAGGGTGAACAAGCTTGAACAAGCTTTAGCACACAGACACATTTTAAGCCTCACTGTGTAACTTTGCCCTTAATTGCCAGACTCTTCTGTCAGGTTGGGAGTGGCTGCAGTTGATGAGTACTGAATAGTACTAAATGTTTTATATGCGATATAGAAAGCACTTTCAGAGGAGCCTGGCTGCCTGCTGAGACACAAAGCAGCACAGGTCTCTGCTTGCCAAAGTAGTTGGGTTTGCAGCTCTAAGGAGTGATGTTGACTTCAAGGAATCGTGAGGAATGATTTCTGGAGTGTCAGGTTCACTGCCTGGCTCCATTTGAGCCTTGGTTTCCCTGCACAAAATGGCATTTCTTGTAGGGCTCCCCTAACCTCTGACCCAAACTGGGTCAATCGCCCTGCAGCCTAAAAGGCTCTTGACCACTTCTTATAGGCTACCAAGTAGTTTTGGTGATTTTGGCTTCTACCTTAGGGTGTCTTTAAACTGATAACGTAAGTGAAAAAGTTAGGATGTCATTACCAAATGTTGTGGTACCCTGAAGAAGCTACTTGATTTGAATGTTTATCCCTTGTTAGCGGAAAGCAAACTACGTCATAATCACTTCTAAGCTACTCCCAGCATTTATTTTAACTTGTTCTAATCATTTTATCGTTTCAGGTAACTCTCTCCATGAAGTGAAGGAGGTAGTTTTTTGGGGGGTGTTTTGATTAGGCTTTTGGAATGGTATAAACAGGCAACATATGGAAGGCATCAAGATTTATAAGTGATGACAGTAAATTTGCCATTAGAGGCATTTTTGTATCTCCTGATTAACACAAAAAGCATTTCGGGGAAGCAGAGAAACCAGCATCTGTACTATTTGTGTGGACCTAAGCTTTACTGGAGGAAAAACCATGCCATTCCTCTTAGAGTTATTCATACAAGCAAAACTCAATGCAAATGGACCAGAAATAGAACACTATGGTATAGTAAAAACATCCATAACCATGACTTCCTGTATTATAGAGTTTCTAAACTTTTAACTTCTTCTCCCGAGAGACTTAATAAAGTGAACAATCATATGTCACGAATTAAGAGCACTCTGGAGTCTGTTTCTAAGGTTGTTTCTGGTACTCACAGTGAACTGGTTTCACGCATAGCTCGATTCAAGCCACATTCTGGCATTCTTGGAAAAGCTTTTCAAAGTAATGCTCATGAAAATAACCTCCAGGTAAATCTAGAAAAAAATAAACAAACAGCCAGGATTCAGGGAGATTACAGTGATAGTCTGGCTGCCAAGAAACCTGTTCATGTCAATGAACATTTGGAGTCTGCATTGATAAGTACAAGTAGTACTAATCAAGGTATTTCAGAAGATTACCTTTTTCACATAAGCCACTTCAGTACAAATTTTGGAGAGACTTACAACTTTTTAGCAAATCATATCAATTTGTACTTTGGCACTAATATTGTTATGGATCCACAGAAAAAAGGGAGTGATTTTCCACAGGACTGTAAGTCTGAAGAAATAAATAAACTTGATTCAGAAAGTGAGATGACTAATGCAAGTAGCACAAGTTCAGCATCTGCCTTAATTTCTGCCACAGAGACTCAAGATGCTGAAAAGACAAATACAGCTCTTCCAGCTTCCCCTAAAAAGACTATTGCAAGCTTCCTTTCAAACCCTAGTAACAGTGTACAAGCTTTTGTAGACAGCTATATTGGTGGCCTGGTTCCCAAATTAAGAGCTGAATCAAAAGCTGCTTCCGAAATGAAGGGTAAAGTAGAAGAACATGAAGAGTCTGTAAAAGATGAAGAGCAAAATGGTAAAGAGATAAAATCTGCAGAAGAGAAAGAAAAACACCTGTCACTTCAGAGAGAAAAGGCAAGTCTTTGATTAACCTTTACAAATATTGAGTTGATAACAGGTTGTTATCAGAAGCATATTAATTTTACCTTCTTTCATTGGGATTTTTTTTTTTTTATTTCAAAGCTGCTTTAAAATTCATTTACTTAGGCGAGGCTTTATTGGAAGCCTCACCTACTACAACATTATCCTACTGTGATGCATTGGTTCCTCTCTTTCCTAGCAGGGAAATCCCAAATGGGATAACAAATTTTTATCCATCACCTCTATTGGGACAATCCCTGTTGTGTTCCCCAGGGAGGGCATCTTGTAGTTCCTCCTATTCAATGTGTATATGAGGCTGATGGGTGACATTGTGCATAATATAGAGAGAGATGCCATCAGCTCTGTCTATCTTTCCCATCTGACCCAGGTGGTGCAGTTTCAGTTCTCTCCCAGTGTCTGGCTTTAGTTGGGGACTAGATGCTGGTGAACCAATTGAAACTGAATCCAAATAAAAAAAGAGGTGGTGGTGAGAGCATTTGACTTGGGCAGAGGAGAGTGGGATTGGGACTCTTTATCATTGCAGTTTAGCCTCTTCTTGTCACTCAGGTAAGCAGCCTCAAAGTTCTCCTGGATCCTCTGCTGCATCTGGATCTGCAGGTGGTGGCGGTGCCTAGGAGTGCCTTTCACCAACTCTTTCAAGTGAGAAGGCTGTGGCTCTTTCTCTCAGACTTTGATCTGCCTACTGCCATCCATGCCTTCATAAGCTCAAGGCTAGACTATGCTTTGAGCTTTATGTGGGGCTGCCCTTGAAAACTTGAAGCTGCAGCTAGTGCAAAATGTAGCAGTACACATGATGCGAGTGGGTTTCTAGGAGCATGCAACTCCAGCGCTCCAGAGTCTGCACAAGCCCCCAGTAGATTTCCGGGTAATGTTGAAGATGCTGGCAGTAGCATTACTATGGCTGGTGATGGAGAGTAGCTCTTGGTGCTGATTTGGGGAGGAGGAGAGGGAGAACACAAAAATAACAGCTGCTTCTGACATCTGGGAGCCATTGCTGCACCTTGGGCCACTGCTGCCAAGGTACAGAACTGCTCTCTTTATGCCTCTGGGTGCTGGTTTTAACTTATAAGACCCAAAACAGTTTGAGCCCTATGTACCTATGAGACTCCCTTCTCCCATGTGCTCCTTCATGACACCTGAGCAACCTTTTGCAAGTCTGTTGGGTAAAAACATGTTGGAAGAGGGCTCTGAAACTCCCTCCCCCTTGTGGTCTTCTACGACAGTGGGGACAGGGAGCAGGGAGTGTTCCTGTTTTATATTGATAATATACTTGCTTTTTCTCTAGTTCACGCCTGTCTGAATAAGTTATTTTATTCTTTCTGTTAATCAGTCTGAGTCTTTGCGGAGGGTAGCATATTAATTGACCGAACAAACAAGTTGCTCACTACTTCAAGTAATTTAAGAAAATAAAATTTTGATAATAGCTTTTTCAGGTTTATATATGTTTCATGTTCTCTCCTTGTTTCTGTGAGTAGTTTCATGCTCTCTCTCTGCTTTTATTATCAGATTATTGCGAGAGTCAGTATTGATAACAGAACTCGGGCTTTAGTTCAGGCCTTAAAACGAACCTCCAACCGAAGAGTCTGTATCAACAGAATTGAAGAACTGGCTTACCATCTTCTGGAGTTTCCAGAAACCAGAGGAGTTGCAATTAAGGTGAGAATCATTTTTATTTAACATACAAACTGCAGACACCCCAGTGTTACTAGTGACAGGTATCATAGAAAAGCATTCTTCTGCTTCACCTACTCTTTTTTTTTTTTTTTTGGCAAAATCCATTTGAGGTTTTTTTTTCATTATTAATATATTAGTTCCAAGAGATTTCATATGTAAGCTCTGATTGACAGCCCAAGGTCTAGGGCAGAATCATCAGACATAAGTTTTCTGGTTGATATTTGTTTGTTAGGAATTCTTTCAATGTAAAAATGAACAAGACCTTCAACTGTGACCTTCATTTTGATTAGCTTCTTTATAGCAGGGGTTTCCAACCTTTTTTAATAAGTGTACTCCCCGCAACTGGATGTGGAGTGGGGGGTGGCGCACGACTAGATATGCAGTGGGGGGGGAGAGAGTGGTGCACGGCTGGACACGGAGCAGCTGCAGCACAGAATGGTGGGTGCAGTGGCTGCTATATGCGACCCCCTCTCCCTCCCCTCCCCACTCATCCCCCCCGTGTCCAGCCAGAGGGGTGCCACTGCCCTGATCCTGGGAGGTGGCAGCATGGGGTGGTGGATGGTGGTGCTGTGTCCCCCCCCACCCATGCATACTTAAGTACCCCTGGGTGTACACATACTCCCGGTTGACAACCCCTGCTTTATAGTATGACCCAAACAGGCCATTTAGAATGAGAACGTATTCCATTTTCTGTCTTTACATAATACTAATGTAATTTGAAAACATTTCCTGTTTGAGATGCCCTGCTTTTGTGTTGAATAAATACTTTGATTTTTGGTCCTGGAGTTAAAATAAAAAGGAAATACCATATCTGTTAGAAATAAAAAAAGAAATTTACCTGATGTGATGTTTACCTGATGTGCTGTTTAGCCAATGTATCATAATTAGCATCTTATTTGTATAAAACTCTATACCTCTAGTTGTCATAATTATTAGAAGTGTTTAAATTTGACTCTTGATTATCTCATAGTATATAATACAATATAATATATATCATACATTATATCACATGATAATATATAAAATCCTCCCCCCCCCGGTAGGATATGGAAGAAAATGGTAAAATACGTTCAGAAAAGCTATTCTTACATGTAAATGCAAAAATGTATTTTAAAACTTAAAAATTTAACTAGTATATTTATAACTTAAGCTGTCATTTCTGGTATCAACTTTTCAGTAAACACAATTTTTTACTTCAACTACAGGAACAAATAATTCCATGCTTACTACGTTTGAGACAGGCACATGATGAAAATCTTCAGGCTTCTGTTAGGGAGGCTTTGGCTATAATTGGATATACCAACCCTGTGAAGGGCCGGGGAATTCGAGTCCTTGCTATCGATGGAGGAGGAACAAGGTAGGACTGAAGCTTTCAAATACCAATAGACTTCTGTAAACTCCAAATTTAGATAACGTCTAAGTCAGTGGCCCATAAACCTAGGCTTTCATTCTGAAACTATTTACAGTTCCATGATAATGGAAACTCTAGTTTTGAACCAGGATTCCAGTAACATATGCTTAATCTTGTATGTATAACTAGTCCCTTTTTTCTGTGGAATAGGTTTATGCAGGCGAGTAAACCAAGTATAGAAGTGTTTTCTGAACTGGGCTAGTAGTTTTTGAAGGCAAGTAAATGAGACAAACTTAAGAAGTTTCACGTAAATAGTCTTCTATATTCGTGAATCAGAAAGGATTATTGGTGCTTCTTTGTCACCCCCTCCCCCCCTCCACAAGCCTGTTCTGTGGGTCATTATGAAACTTCCCCAGATGGGGCTCTTCCCCAACTCACCTGCCGCACCTTAATGTTGAATTAAAGAAGGGATTCAGTTAGATCTTGCTAATGCTTCCATCTGGGTTTACTCACGGTACCTCTGAGGCTGATGTGGGGCTCTGCCTCCCCTACATCTCTTCTGCTCACCAACTGCTGTTGATGTGGAGTTATGATGCTGCCTGCCACTATGAACTCCAGGCTTTTATCTAAGTCACACTCACCCCATCTCTTTGTCTTCCGGTTGCCTCCTGGGGTGAAACTAAAAGGCTCTCTTGGCCTCTTACCTCCACTGCGTCTTCTCCCCCTTTTGACTTCCCTTCCTTTGAAGCAAGATACAATAATAAACCAAAAGAAAATAAATAACTCTTTCTACTATGACTCCCCCTTTCTTTATTGCAGGGGGTCCTCTATCTCTTTGCCCTGACTTCAAAGAGCAGAGCCCTAAAGCGCACCCTGCTTTATTCTAATCTGACTTCAGCCAGGGTCCTTTGTCCTCCAGCAGTGCTCCTGCTGGCACCTTGTCCCTACAGCTGGGCTCTAGCCTCCCGGAGCAGGCGTTCCTCTCATCCTCCTCTCTGGCACCCTCAGTGCCTTGCAATTTCCCTGTGGCAGCACACTGGGCTGACATCATCAGCCGCACACTGCCTACCTGGATGGAGAGGGAGCTTAAAAAGTGGTACAGCTGTGCCGTGCACAGCTGGTCTGGGCTCCTTCCCCAGTAAGTTTTGGGGGTATCTTCTCTGACTCTGGTCTCTTCTGGACCAGCTCTGAACAGGGGGTATAGATACAGGGTTCATGCGGGGTACCCAGGCTGCCACATTCTGATAGTTAGATTTGACCATAGTAGAAAAGTCTTTTGATTTTGTTGTTGTTGTTTGTTTGTTTTTCTTTATCTTAACTGACCGCATTGAGTGTTATGCCCTTAAGTTGGCTAAGTGACTGGGGGAAAACTCACAAATTCCAATCACTAAGGTCCAAAACTGCTGGAAAAATTCTAGATTAATTTTCCTGTGGTACTCAACTCCCAATAATACAAGGGAGTTCTTGCATATTCTAGAAAAGAATAGAGCACAAAATAATTATCCCGCACCTTACAAGAAGTAGGAACTTTACCATTGCTGGTTTTCTGCCTTAGTAACTCACCTAGACTTTTCTTCTAAGCAAGAATGAATTGGTTGGGGAAAGCAGTGTTCTAAAGTGTCCTTGATTCCTGTGTCCTTTTCTACTTAAATCACTTGCTTTTAGTTGTTTGTTTATTTTTGGTATCACATCTCCAGAATTAGGTTCAGGTTTGCAAACATTTATATATGTACTTCATTTTTATGTCCATCAGCAGTCCTTTTGAACTCAAAGAATCTAGTATTGTATAAAAGTTAAATATGCAAAACTATCTGCAGGTTTGAATCCTAAATTTTTCAAATAATACTTTTTCCATAAATTTACTGATTGAAAATACTATACTTGCCATTCACAATATGCAGTTTTCTGAGCTTATAATTTTTTGTAAATAGTATTTGATGCATATTAGCAATACTTCTTTTCAGTTAGGGTTAAGTCTGTGACAAGTTTTAAGTACAAAAACTCTTTAGTTATCTGAGTACAAAAATGCTTTCCTTTTTTCTTTACTTTTTTTTTTAAAGGAGATATCTTTTTTTCTCTCCATTGGCATAGTTCCATATTAAGTGTTGTTAATATACTCCAGGATAAATTATTTTTGAGTTTATAGCATAAAATAGGCCAGTAGCCCCCAAATGAAAAGTTTTCAGAAAGTTGAGGAAGTGAAAATGTAACACAATGCCTTTTTTCATCCCTACCATTATTCTCAGATCTAGATCTGGACTATACAAACAAATTTATGCCTAATCCTGTACAGTCCTTTCTAGCATAAGTAAGAGTTGTGAAATGAATTACACTTGTCTGAACTAAAACTTAATTATGAGTACAGAGATGTAATTATCAGTGTTAGTCTTAAGTCAGGCAGAAGGCAGCACAGTGTAGCACCTTCGAGACTAACTTGTTCAGACAGGCATAAGCCTTTGTCTGTAAAATGAGTGGAAACTTTTGGAAACTTGTCAGTGAGATGAGTGGTGGCAGCGTTAATTGCTGTGAGTTCTTGGCCCTTGATCCATGGGGTGGATCCAGCTTCACGGAGAGCCCTGAAGATCTAATCCAGAGCACAAAGTTATTATCTGGCCTGCAGGCCCACAAGTTTGGCGGCAGGTGCAACCACAGCAGTTAATACTGCCACTTGCAAATTTCTAGCTTCATGGGCAGTCCTGTGGACCAGATGATATGGCCCCAAACTACGGATCTAGACCTTAGAGTTGATGAGTTAATTGATGCACTGGGGAACGTAAGTGTTATAAAAGCTACTCCAGGTGATGCAGTAAGAATCCAGTCTTCATTGAGACCATAGATAGCTATGAGAAGAGTTGTTATGGCAGAGGAATCAGGTTGTCTGCAGTTTGGGTTTCTCAAGCTCAGCTGAAGGTGATGTTTATTTCAAACTCCATTATGAATGTGAATACAACGTGCTGTGAACAAAATACACTAATTTTGTGGTCAGCATTCAAGGGAAATAGCAGGTGTAAGGTTGTTTTTTCCAGTTTAACTTCCTGCTCTCTGGGATTCTGCCTCTGATTACGTATAAACTATGGAGCTGCTTTCATAGATTAACTTCTTTTGGTTGCTATTATCATGTCTAGTTTTGAAGCAATGAAGTATAAAAGTGAATGACATCAGGTTTTGTTTTCCATTAACTGAGGCAGCCAGGTATATCCAAATAGCATAGCATTTTAGTTCTTGTACTTAATGTTAGGTTTCTAGGCTTGCTCCGCAGTAAATGTCTTGTGTAGATGTGTCCAGGGATACTCAATATATACTTCCCCTCTTGCTTTTATCCCGGTATTGCTAATTACAAGTGTTATTTTAACATAGGAGTGGCCATGCTGCAGCACAGGTTCTACAAGTGGCATAGGCAGCCTCTGCATGACACAGCTGATTGGGGAGGGAGCAGGCAGCTCAGTGGCAGATCAGGCAGGGAGCAGAAAAAAGAGCATCAGATCAGGCAGGGGAAAGAGATTGGAGTGACACTTGGGAAGGGCATGGGGCTAATTCATGGCACATGTACCTAAAGGTTGCCCCCACCCCCGTGTTAAAATGCCTCTTACTCTTTGAAATATCTGTATATTCTGTCTCCTTTCCTAGATATTGCTTAGCCCAACATTATTTATTTGTTCACATGATTCTTTGTGTGTGTTTTGCAATTCCGTTTCAGAGGTATAGTGGCACTTCAGACTCTGCGCAAGTTAGTAGAACTTACTGGAAAGCCTGTCCATCATCTTTTTGACTACATTTGTGGTGTAAGCACAGGTAAGTAGTATTCTGTAGGGTGGATTTTTGTGATAAACTTTCATGCCCAAGGTTTCACTTTTATTAAATTTAAGTTTTTCTAAAATTTGCATATTGCAAAAACACAAAAACCTTAATCTTGTTAAATGTGAACCGGGGGTGGGGGGGCATGTAAGAGAGAGGTGAGTTGGAGGGAGAAGAGGGGGAATGGTTGGGGTATATAAAATGTAAGACCTTGTTTAAAATGTTATCACTACTTTTTCCACATAAAAGCTTAGATGACCAAAACATGCCAATTGAGCTATAGACAGATATATAGCTGTATATGTATCTCTGTTATATATAAGAGTATATATTTCTTTTTAACTGGAGGTTTCAGCTTGATTTTGTGTTGGGCCATTGAATTGTGACAGTAATTAACTTAAGAGGACCATTTAGCACTAAATTATGTCAAGGCAATTGGTGTTCCATAATTACTCAAATATAGGTCTCTCTGCAGTCACTGAAGTGCAGTGTAGTGTAGCTATCCAAGCTAGTTAGCTAGCTGCAGCAACATCAAGCTTGCCACAGACCTCAACAGTGAATGTAGTATGGACATACTCTAAGGATTTTATTGCAGTTTCTGAACAATAAAATGCCCTTTTCCAGTAAAACAGATAGAATAGATGCAATAATATTAATATACAGTGACCTGCACCTTCTCATCCTTAACATTTAACAAGTTTTGTGTGGTGGTGGTGTTTCTGAATGACAGAAATCTACTGCCTCTCTGGCATTATGTTCTAAAATATTTAAGTCACACAGTTTTATTGATGTAGTTAGAAGTTGTTTATCATGGAACCATAGAAAATTAGGGTTGGAAGGGACCTCAGGAGGTCATAACCCCTTGCTCAAAGCAGGACCATCCCTAACTAGATCATTCCAGCCAGGACTTTGTCAAGCCAGGCATTAAAAGCCTCCAAGGATGCAGATTTCACCACCTCCCTAGGTAACCTGTTCCACTGCTTCACCAGCATCCAAGTAAGAGTTTTTCCTAATATCCAGCCTAAACTTCCCTTGCTGCAACTTGAGACCATTGCTTTTTGTTCTGTCATCTGCCACCACTGAGAATAGTCTAGCTCCATCCTCTTTGGAACCACCTTTCAAGTAGTTGAAGGCTGCCATTAAATCCCCCTGAGCCTTCTCTTCTACAGAATAAATAAGCCCAGTTCCCTCAGCTTCTCCTCAGAAGTCATGTGCCCCAGTCCCTTAACCATTTTTGTTGCCCTCCACTGAACTGTCCTCAACTTGTCCACATCCTCTCTGTAGTGGGTGGCCCAAAACTGGATACAGTACTCCGGATGTGGCGTCACCAGTGCTGAATAGAGGGGAATAATTACTTCCCTTGATCTGCCGGCAGCCCAGTATGCTGTTAGATTTCTTGGCAACAAGCACAGACTGTTGACTTATATCCATCTTATTGTCCACTGTAACCCCCAGATCCTTTTCTGCAGACCTGCTGCTTAGTCAGTCATTCCCTAGCCTATACCAGTGCATGGGACTGTCTCATCCTAAGTGCAAGACTTTGCACTTGTCCTTGTGCAATGTTTATGATAAAGTGCATTAGTATGTAAGATAGAGCTTGATCTGAGTTATATGAAATGCATACCAAAGGAATTGCGGAACTTAATAATGACTAATAGAATTTATAATTACTTAAGTACTTAAGTTGTGTTTGCACACACAAGTTATAAAGAATCTTTAATTGTACACCTTAGGCAGTGATGTAGTAAAGATTTTCAAGAATAGATAAGGAAATGGCACTAATTATTCATAAGCATTGTTTTTGTGACTTGATGCTCTCTCTTAAACAGCTTAACTTTTTTATTTAAAAAAAAAAGTAGCATCAGCGTAAAAATTATATATATTAGTGTGTGTGTCTTTTGGGGGGGTGTTGTAATGTTTTAAGTTTAACATATTTGTTTTTCTATTTCTGGAGAAAAGCCCTGCATGCTGTGGCAGTTTTTCTGTAGGTCAGCAAAAGTGGGGCTCTAAGTAGTTATAATGCAGAAAGCTGCTGAACTGGGTTTGGGGATGGGTTGTGAGGAGAAGCAAAAGTAGTTGTTTCCTTCAAAAATACTGATAGCCTATGGGACAAGGCAGGGTAAGAAGCACTTCTCTCCAAGAGAAAATGCAGGCCATCAAGCGTGTTGAGTTTTTATATTTCCTTTGGCTTGCATACCAAACTGCTATCCTTATGTGAATGTCTCTGTCCTGTTTCTGGTAAACCTGATCTGCCATCTGCTTGGGGAGGATGCGGTATCTTTGAACGCTTCCAAGCTTCTCCTTGACTTTCCTCACACTTAGAGCTGTAAGAATGACATTTTGATGGGTAAACGCATGCTTTGCCTAGTTAGGGAGCCCTACGGAGAACAGGTGAGCATAGTGCTCAAGTACGTTTCTTTCTTAAGATCTGCCTATTTGCATACCATGTAAGTGCTTGTCTCTGTTCCTCTATCATCATTCTTTCAGATTTATCAGTCTTTTAGCTGTCTTCCTATCTATATTGCACCTTGTATTATTCAAATATCACTATGTTCTTTTCAAGAACTTCTGGTATCCCTATCCCTTTTGGGCAACTTCAGGAGGGGGTGCAATTCTTTTCTGGAAAAGGAGGCAGCTCCAAAATATCTAATAAACTTTTCCTTGGAGTCTCAGAACAGTAGAGATTCCCCATGCCTGAAGAAGGGTGACTGCACCAGAAAGCTTGCTAAGAACTTTTTTCCAACTACTCATTTGGTCTAATAAAAGATATCACATCTACTCAAAGAACCTTGTCTGCCTAATAGACTTAGATTTGGCTGCATTTAAAAAAAAATGCAGCCAAAATTACAGCACACCGTAATTATCCTGGTATTCATTTTTTAAAAATATATTTATCCTGTAAGTACGGCATATCACTAGGTTACATGAATGTGGTATGCTGTATATTACAAAACAGTTCACCTTCATGTGGAAATCTAATTACTTTATTTCTTCTCCCTCTAATTCTCTATTAATATAATCTTATCCTGAAATATATTAACAGAGATCACAACGATGAGCAGCCTGCATTCCCAAAGATGTATGTAATAGACTCACAAATGCTACAGGAGGAGAGAACTTTTAGGTCTATTCAGTAGTAGAAATATGCACGTAAAATAGTTTCCTAATACATATTTTTCTAGTGCTCTGAGAAGTCTACTTCTTAAGTGACTTAAGTTAGTGAAGCTCTGTTTTCTTTTGAAAATAATTATATTAACAGGATCTTTTCTGATGGCTGTTTTAGTCAAGACTGGCACTTTTTTTCTGATAGTGAGCCTGAATTGTCTTTTTCAGTTTAATCCCATTTACTACTTGTTTACACACACTTCTCTTTTCTTAATACTTGTTCTTCTTCATAAGCATTTATACTTACTAATACATGTTCTCCACATTCTGCTTATGCTGTTCTTTTAGTCAACTTAAGTACTGCTTTGGTAGACTTTTTTTTTTTTTTTTACTGGTTCCTAACATGTTTATGGTGTATAGGTCATACATGACTTCATATGTATTTGTAACACCTTCCAGTTTGCAGTAATATAAGCTTTGAATTTAATTACTTGTCAGCTTCATTTCTTTCAGATCTATTTTCTTTTGTGCTAGCTGCTAAATGATTGTAGATTGCAGTGTTGGTAACTTGCATAACAATGGGCACGTGTACATGTTGCCCTGCAGTGATGTTACTGCACCATACTTTAGTACTTCCTTTTCTAAGTACTAAAGCATGGCTCAGTAACTGCCCACACTGTGCTATATGCTCAGGGCACGGTTATTTTTAGCAGCTACTTTGCTGTAGCAGCCCACTATAACGAGGGAGAGTGCCACTATGGTGATGTACTTGCTGGTCATGTGTAGATACCTGTGGATGCTACATCACCTAGTGCATTGCTATGGTGACGTAGCATCACATGTAGATGCACCCAGTAAGTTGTTTATAGAGTTATCTTCAGTGGTATATTTCATGTCAAAGCAGCTGGATAATATCATCCTATCGTGGATATCACACCTGTCCTCAAATAAACTGCTGTGATATGTTGTGTTGTCTTAAATCTGTTTTGTCCTATTTTGCACACACAATTTTCAGATACAATTGCATATAGTTTTAGTATTTAAGAGTTAGGCTTTTTTGATGCACACTAGATGGCAGTATGAATGAATGGCTAATTATAAGGGGTGTAGGTTGTAGCTGTGTTGGCCTAAGGATCTAGGCAGACAAGGTTCTTTGGGTAAATCCAATATATTTTATTAGACCAACTCAAATAGTTGGAAATAGTCAGCTAATTATAAATCATTTGCTGTTAAATATAGTATCAAATACCTAAAAGTCTTATTTTTCAGAGCTTTCCTGGAATCTCTTTTACATCTTTAGATTTGTCATATAGTGTTACAAAGAGTAAAAAATATATATTGTTAAGGCTTTTGATTTAAGGCTACACCCTACAGCTCTCCTAGATTTCACGTACTAGTTTGCTTTTCCAAATAAAACTGTGGTTTCATAGTAGCTAGGGTCAGGAGGGACCTGAACAGATCATCTAGCCTGACCCCCTGCCACAGGCAGGAATGAATGCTGGGTTCACGAGACCCCAGACAGGTGATCATCTAACCTCTTTTTGAATTTACCCAAGGTAGGGGCAAGGACCACTTCCCTGGGAAGTTGGTTCCAGATGCTGGCCATCCTAACCGTAAAATATTGCCTTCTGAGCTCTAACCTAAACCTATTCTCCATCAGCTTATTACCATTGTTCCTCGTCACCCCAGGTGGTGCTGGGGAGAAAAGGGCTCTACTTTATTTGCTGATGATCTCCCCTGATAAGTTCATAGGCAGCCACCAGGTCCCCACTCAGCCTCCTCTTGCCATGGCTGAACAGGTTCAGGTCCCTCAGTCTCTCCTTGTAGGGAGAGTGGTTTTAAGATAAGTATAAGGTAACTATTAAGTAATTTTTTGTAGAAACAAATCAAACAATCTTGTTTTTTCTGAGAAAAACTGCCTCTTCAGTTGCACCCACTCGAATATGTTGATTTGATCTCTGAACAAAAAAATAGTTTATGGCACAAACCTCAGTTGATCATGTTTTTTTAAGGTAGATACATTAACATATGAATTAATGGTGTTTTCTGTAACTTAATACAGCTATCTCGTGTCATCCTAAGTTGCATTTTCAATTTAAAAACATTTTTTTTTAGGAGCTATATTGGCATTTATGTTGGGGTTGTTCCATATCCCATTGGATGAATGTGAAGAGCTGTATCACAAATTAGGATCAGATGTTTTTAAGCAGAATGTCATTGTTGGGACAGTCAAAATGGGCTGGAGCCATGCATTTTATGACAGTGATACCTGGGAAAAAATGCTCAAGTAAGTGAAAAGTAATTTCTAGAAATCTTTGGTTTTGTTGCTGTTAAATTGTAAACAGTAGTTTAAAAACAACACACAGATAGTGATACGTGATATCACTATCTTTTGAATTAGCTGGTTGCTTTTGTATTGCCAGAATATTTGAGTCATCATTATAATGATTCCTCTGTTTCTAGGGACTAAAATGAGATATGGTGCACTGGTTTCTGATTATATGTCCATATGCTCCCCAGCTCAGCTAATTTTAACTCATTATATGTCTGCTAGCAATCTTGCTAGCCGCCTGCTGTGCATTTTCCCTATAGGAAAAGTGCTAAAAAGTGAAATGGTATGCTGTGCCAAAGACCCCTCATCTTAAGTACTATATTAAGTCTTCTTACCTTTTGCATTTTTTCTTTAGAAAAGAAAAACACAAAGATGGTAATGCAAAGAGATATCCATTATGTAAAACCTTTTGATTTAAAAAAAAGAGAAATATTTAGTTTTCTATCTATTGTACTAGTAGATGTGGAGAACATTGAATCATAGAAAATCAGGGTTGGAAAGGACCTGAGGAGGTCATGTAGTCCCACCTGCTGCTTAAAGCGGGACCATCCCCAACTAGATCATCCCAGCCAAGGCTTTGTCTAGCCGAGTCTTAAAAACATCCAAGGATGAAGATTCCAGCACCTCTCTGGGTAACCCATTCCTACTAGTGAAAAACTTTTCCCTAATATCTAATCTAAACTTCCCTTGTTGCAACTTGAGACCATTGCTCCTTGTTCTGGTATCTGCCCCCTCTAAGAACAGTCTAGCTCCATCCTCTTTGAAACCCCTTCAGGTAGTTGAAGGCTGCTATCAAATCCCTTCTCAGTCTTCTCTTAAGCAGATTAAATAAGACCAGTTCCCTCAGGCTCTCCTCATAAGTTATGTGCCCCATCCCCCAAACCATTTTCGTTGCCCTCCACTGTACGCTTCAACTTGTCCACATCCTTTCTGTAGTAGGGGCCCAAAACTGGACACAATACTCCAGATGTGGTCTCAATGGTGCTGAATAGAGGAGAATAATCACTAACTGGAAATGTTTGTACTAATGCAGCCCAGCATGCTGTTAGCCTTCTATGCAACATGGGTATATTGTTGGCTCATATGCAGCGTATTGCCCACTGTAACCTCTAGGTCCCTTTTTGAAGACCTGCTGTTTAGACAGTTCATTCCCAGCCTGTACTGGTGCATGGGACTGTTCCATCTTAAGTGTAGGACTTTGCACTTGTCCTTATTGAACCTTATGATATTTTTGAGATTTCTGGCAGAAACAGAAAGCAGGGAAGCAGATGAGGCAGGGAGTGTGGGCAGAGCAGACCACAACACTCGGACTGTTAAGGGGAACAGGGCAGGGAGCAGAAGGCAGAGCAGCCAGTTGGGCAGAGGGAATGACAGTCAGAGAGGGGGCATAGCTAATTTGTGGCTTGTGTGCCAAAAAACCTGGCCCTCACTGTTATAGAGTGTTCTTAAGAGAAAATGGTCTGTGCCAGCAGTTCCCAACCTTGGGGTCATGACCGCATTTGGGGTCGCAATAATAAAAAATGGGGTTGCAAAGATTATCATGATTTCCTCCTTTAAAGGAGAAATAGCAGGAAATGGTGGATTCCCCTTGCAGGTTAGCAGAGTTCCAGCCTGTATGGAGATGCTTGGGACTGGGGGAGAGTGGGAGGAGGGTGATCAGGTAGAAGACACCACGTGCATGTGTGTGCGCGCATGCACACACACAGCAGCCAGGTACCATGGAAAGCAGTGCCTGCAGCTCCTTCCAAGTAAGTCTATGGGGTGGCAGGGGAGAGAGTAGATTGAGGCCCCCACAGTGAGAGGGAGGGAGTGGAGCAGGGCTGGGGCTCGGGGCACTGCCCAGCTGGGCTATTGCATGGGGCCTCAGTCTGGGGCAGGAATATAGCGCCTGACTAGGGGAGCAGGATGTAGCCATGGGTAACTTCTCTGGGGGTGGTGGTGGGGGCTGGATCTCTGCAACGGCATGCACTCCTGGGGATAGAGGCACAGGTAGGCATTCCTTCTCCGCCCCCCCCCC